CATTGGTGTAGCAGGACTGTCCTATACACAGTCTGCTTACTTTTAAAAGTAAACATCTGTGGTGCAATTGAATGTGACAGGACAGATGCAAATGGGTTGCTGGGAGGAAACTGCCAGGTAATTCCAACTCCTTTGCTACTTCAGTCCTGTCTTACTATTCTGTGCTGCAGCAGCCTTTGCAAGGTTCAGTCTGTAATTCAGTGTATGATCACTTGCAGAGCAGAGGGCTGGCAGATTGGCAATGCTGAGTACCCCTGGCAGCAGGGAGAGAGCAGCACAGTGCACATGGCACTGCTCTAGAAATAGCTCTTCAGTCCAGAGCCCTGAGTGGTGAACTGCAGGGATGTGACTCCTGGGCAGGTGCTGAGAGTCTGTTAACCCTGTTTTTTCACTCAGACGGGAGTTGACCTGACTAAAGACAACATGGCTCTTCAGAGGGTGAGAGAAGCATCAGAGAAAGCCAAGTGTGAGCTTTCATCATCTGTGCAGGTACGTGCCTGGATCCAGAGCATCCAGTACAATGCTAGGACACGTGGAGTTCTGCACTGGCTTTGTTTACTGAGCTCTCTGACACTGTTTTTTCTTCTCTGTAACCCAGTGGCATCACTGGCACAGGAGGTCAGTCAGCAGGGTGGGCTTTCAGACCACAGAGAGCTGCTGGAAGCTGAGTTGTTGGGTTTTGCCCTTTTTCTGGCGCCACACCTGATCTTGCAGGGAACGTGACCTTCCCAACTTGTTCTGTACCTCAGAACTGTGATGGGCATCAGGGAATTTAGCCAGTGCTGCTGGGTTACTGGAACCACTTACAGCTCAGTGCAAGCACTTCCAAACCCTTGGTGCTGCTCATTCCACTGCAACAGCTAATTTCTGTAGTAATTCTTATACAGAACCTTGACTTACGTGCCTATGGACAAGTTGGCTGCACAATGGGCAGCAGCCACCCTCCCTCCTTTTTTCCATCAGCTTTGTATATTAATGCAGTCAAGTGTGTCTTTTATGAATTCATTACTGAATAAGGAACTGGAAAAGCAGAAAGTTTGGAGTGTAATAGTCCTGGCTAAATGAAATTAAGGTCAATTATATAGTAATTGAAATGGGGAGTCTGCCAAGTTCTAGCTTCTGAATAAGCATCTTGAATTTTATCTGATGGTGGTCTTTTTTGCTGGCCAGTGGGGAGCTCATAGCAAGGAGCTGAGGGCAGTCACAATGGCTGCATAGTTCTGCCAGAGACATAGCAAGCTCTGTTTTATGAGCCCAAGAGCTGGCAAATGCAGTTTGTTCATACCAGGAAAGACTGAATTCTTTAACTCTTTAGCAGTGAAGTGAAAACAACTTGCTTTTGGTCCTGTTTTCCCCTAATACTTTTGACCACACTGTGTATAAAGTGAGTGCACACCTCTAGTCAGCAGCATGGTTTTAATTCTTGTATAAACTTAATCTCTAGAGCTTAAAGCACTAATGTTTTAATTGCTTTGGATTGTAGTGTTTTTTGAGGTCAGCATGACTCAGCACTTGAATCAGATGATTTCAGTATAAGATTTGCTTTATAAATCCAGCATGTGACAAACAGCTATTAAAATGGGGATTATGGTTCCTTGCTCTAATTAACTTTGTGTTAAATGGCGGCAGAGTGGCTGTTGAGCATGAGCTGTTGGCATTGAGAGAATAGCCAGGAGGGAGGGAAATACCTTCAAGGAGTTTACCTGGTGTGGAGTGTCAGTCAGTTGGCAGAATCGTTGCAGGAGCTCTGCAGATGGGCTTTCTTCTGTGTTGTGCTGAAGGAACAGCATTAAGGTTGTCACTTCCAGTATTTCTGCTCTTACCTCCTGGCTGTGACAGATTGTTTTGCTCAACAGTGAAAGACCTTGAAGTAACACAGTCTTAAAATTGGGGTTTAGCAATTGTAACAGTGAGGTGCAGAACAAAATAATTGTCTTATTTCTGAAATGTCAAACATAAAAGTGTGCCTGCTGCCTCTTAAACTGGGCTGGAGGGTGAGCAGCCACACAGATACCTCAGCACAGCCAAACAGAACCTGTAAGCTGGTGTGAAGCCCATTGCTGGTTTTTCCTGAGCCTGTTTCCGTGCCACAGACCGACATCAACCTGCCCTACCTGACCATGGACGCCTCCGGACCAAAGCACTTGAACATGAAGCTGAGCCGGGCGCAGTTCGAGGGCATCGTGGCTGACCTGATCAAGAGGACAGTGGCCCCCTGCCAGAAAGCCATGCAGGATGCTGAAGTCAGCAAGAGTGACATTGGGGAAGTCATCCTCGTTGGTGGCATGACCAGAATGCCAAAGGTATGAGCTCAGGGCCCGTTCAGGCAGGGCTGGCACAGCTGCCCTGTGCCTCTGTTTGGGGATCAGGACAGAGGAGCTGGGAGTGCTCAGGGCAGGCTCAGTGCTGAGGGTCCCACGGGGGCACTGCCGAGGATCTCCTGTTCTGTTTGCTCAGCCCAGCTGGGCCCTGGGGGCTGGAGCTGAGTTGCACTGTGCAGAGCCAAGGGGACGTGCTGGGAGGTGAAAGTCCAGCTGCAGCCTGACAGCCTGGGCTGCACTGGACACCAGCAGCATTGCTGAGGAGTGCAGGGCACTTCCTCTTGTTGGGCACTCAGTGTGGTAAAGGTGCATTTCAGTGACAGCCACTTGAAAGCAGTCTGTGCCTTGCAAGGGATTTCCAGCACTTGCAGGTATGAAGAACCTGCACAAGCAGAGCCCCTCTGGTACCTGCTGGTTGTGTGTAATCAGAGCTACCTGTTGGAGGCTGCTGTTGGCAGGCCCATTTACCTGGCTCTTGCAGACACTCCTTATCTAAAGCTTAGCCCTTAGTTCTGTGGAGATAAGCTCAGCAGGTAGCTTTAAAGCCAGCTGTGCTGACATGCACAGTTGTGCAGATAAGTGCTGTCTGCAGATGATTTACTGCTCCTGTTCCAGCCATGCCCTGCTGCTGCTCCTCCATCCCAGAGCTGAGCAGGGATGTTCACTGCTCCCTCCAGGGGTACAGCCTGGCCTTTCCTGCAGAGAGCACCAAAATCTCACTCCAGGGGGATCACTCAGGCTTGCACTATTTGTTGCTTTTTGATTTGCAGGTCCTCTCTAGGACAGTAGGTGTGTACATGGTCCTGCTTGGGGTTGATTTGGGGTTTGGTGGGAGGGTTTTTCCTTCCTGCATTAATGAGCCTGGTGGCTGGAGGTGGTACTGGTATAAGCAGGTCACCCAGGCAGGGGAGCCAGAGCAGCAAGATAAACAGAAGCTCCTGTTCTGGCCAAAGCTCATGTGGAGTAACTCTGCTGTATGTTCCCAAAGTCCTTGTTGTTCCAGCTGGATAAAGGAAAAATGGTGTGATTACCTATGTATAAAGTGATGACAAACACAAAAGCTTTTTCCTGAAACATTATGTATCCTTCAGGGGTGGAAGACAGAACTTAAATTGATTTTTTTTTCCCTTCTTCCCCTCTTAACCCCTAGCTGTGTGCAGGTTTGGGCTGGCAGAATGCTTTCCCAGGTGCCAGCAGTTGCTGCTCTGCCTCTGCAGTTGGTGCCAGTGTGTTGTAGACAGCCAGGCCTTCTCTTGAGTACCTTGTTGTTCTCTCCTCCCCTGCTAGGAGGGAATGTGGCTTCTCTGGAGCTGCCCCATGGCCAGTACTCTGGGAGATGGGCTGTGGGTGGTTACAAGCATTGTTTTGTTCTGTAAAATAAACCTCCAGAGGGAAAGACTTGCACTTAATTACATGTTCACACATAGAGTCTCCTCTGTAATGGGTGCTTGCTTGGGGCAGGTGTCTCCTGGCTGCAGAGTTGGGTGTTTGCTTCCAGCAATCTTCCAGGCACATCCCACTCACCTGGGCTGATGTGCCCAACACCTGTACTGGGAGAGGAGGCCCAGCCCCACAGCCTTCCCTGTGTTCTGGGGCAGACCCTCAGTGCATTCCTGTGTGGATTCTTCAGCAGGAAATCTGTTGGGATCATGAGCACAGTCCTGGGGAGTGGGCTGAGTAGGGCAGAGCTGACAGCAGAGCGCAGAGTGTTGACAAAACACATCTCTGCTGAAACAGCCCATGAGATAAAGACTTGGAAAATACTGTTCTTTATACAATTCCCTTTTTTTTTTTCCCCTTCACTGCACACAGACAACATGAACTGCACTGCTGGATTTTTTCCCTTCCCTGTGCTCCTCCACAGCTGTACTGTCCTTGGCAGTTGTGTCCTGCTCAGTGCTGGCTTGCACAGTTCCCAGGGAGCAGTCCTTGACTCCCAGATAAGCCTGGAAGGATCCCCTGGGGATGTGGCTGGGCTGTGTCAGGGCACTCAGGGGGCTGCCTTGCAGCTGGCACCCAGAGCCTCTGCAGAAGGGGCTGCCTGGGCTGCAGTGAGGGCATGCAGTGCTGTGCAGGAGGGTGGGCAGTGAGGGAGCAGGCACAGAGCTGAGGCTCAGTGTCTCTGTCTCAGACTTTCTTTGCAGCTTAAGGACACAGAGCTGAGCCAAGGCTGCTCAGTGTGGGGGTTCCCCTGTGGATGAGCTGTGCTGTGTCTCCACTCAGGTGCAGCAGACTGTGCAGGAGTTGTTTGGCCGTGCTCCGAGCAAAGCAGTCAATCCTGACGAGGCTGTGGCCATTGGAGCAGCCATCCAGGGCGGGGTGTTGGCTGGTGATGTGACAGATGTGCTGCTGCTGGATGTAACTCCCCTGTCCCTGGGCATTGAGACCCTGGGAGGTGTCTTCACAAAGCTCATCAACAGGAATACCACCATCCCCACCAAGAAGAGCCAGGTAAGAGTTGACTCAGGATGGGTGGCACTTTGCTGGTGCTGTCACACAGCTCGGGAAAGGCCACCCAGAGCATGCCAGTAGATGGATTTGCCTCCTCATCTGACAAGAGAACCTGAGAAATCAGGTTTAATGTCAGCCACTGAGTATCTCTGAGGGGAGGGCAATTGAGTTAACGATGACAAGATATGCCAGGGTGTTTGTGGCCTGCTGAGGGTTGTTACAGTGTGTGTGCCATGATGTCAATTGTCAACACATCATTCTGAAGAAGGATTGTGTGGAGCCCTTGTGGGACTGAGCACCACGCCCATGGGAGAGCCCTTCTTGGCTGAGTGCCTGGGAAGGGGTTATCTTTGCATTGTAATGTCCTGGTGCCTTGGGTGTGATCCCTTCCTTCCCTTGGCTCTGTCTGGGCCTGCTGCTGTGTGCTCTCTGATAACACCTGAGCTGCCTGGGGTGTGGGCTGGAGCCTGCTGCTTCAGGGGGGATTTTCTGGAGTGTGGTGGCTGCCCTGGAACCTGCTCCTGCCATGGCTGGCCAGTTTTTGTGTCCCCAGGAGCATACAGGACAAGAAAACATTGGCTTGGCTCTTGCTAGCCTTGATGCCACAGAGTTTTGTCAGAGGGACGTGGGAACAAGCATTTCATTATTTTCCCTTCCAAGCAGCTTCCTTTTATTCCTTGCTCAGTCAGCTTGTAACTGCAGATGTTTGTGTTCTAATTAGCTATATAGTAACTTCCAGTTCCTTTTCCATAGGTGTTTTCTACAGCTGCTGATGGGCAAACACAAGTGGAGATCAAAGTGTGCCAGGGAGAGAGAGAGATGGCCAGTGACAACAAACTGCTTGGCCAGTTCACTTTGGTACGTTGGCTTCTCTACTCCTGACCTTAGACCTGACCTTCTGGGAGATGTTCAGAGCCTTCTCCATTTCAGCTGCCCCCTGAAGGCAGTGTTGAGGGGGAGTCATCTTACAGAAGACATTTGACCCCTTTCTAGTACAGAGCAGCCTCTAGAGGCACAGCCTGGCCCTGGGACAGCCTTTCTGTGGCTGAGGACCAGCTGGTTTGAAGATGGAGCTCAGAGTTTCTGAGCACTCCCATAGAGCACTGGGGCTGCTGCTGCTTTAGGGCCTGGTCACCAGGAAGGGCTCTCTGGGGATAAAAAAGCCTGTGCAGTACCAGGAGATAATCTGAATACTCCTCTGGTGTAGCAAAGATGGGACCTGGAGCAGCTCCAGGATACCTGCAGTCCCCAGGGACCCCATTTCAGGCTGGTGAGACCCTGGGAGCAGAGTCAGTGTGAGCTGAGGTCCTCCAGGGTGTGTTTGTGGGATTGCAGTGTGTGTGCCATGATGTTAAACTGTCAACACATCATTCTGAAGAATTGTGTGGAGACTTTGTGAACTGAGCCCACACCCTGCTCCCTGGGGAACAGATGTGTTCTGGGATTGCTGGGAGCAGAGGGGGGCTGCCCAACCAGCTCCCTCTGCAAAATGGGTTTGGTCAGTGCTGGCAAAGTTTGGCACTGTTAAACTGTCCAAGTTTGTGTGAACTTCCTAGGAAGAAGTCTGCAGAAAGGAAGGACTTTGCCCTTCTGTGCTTTTGAAGGAATCTGTGCTGCCTCTCACTGTCTTAAAATGGTTCCCCAGGGGTGGCCAGTGAAATCTATGTCCAGAACTGAGGAAATAGAGCATCCTGCCACATCTAGGGAGGACAGGCTTGTGTAGCAATAAAGCAGAGCCTGTCCCACCTTGGAACCAACCCTGGGGGTTCTCTCTTGGGGTTTCTGTGCACTTTTTCAGGGCAGAAACCAGATCCCAGTGCACAGCATGGTGCCAACAGGTACTTAGAGGACTCAGCTCTGAGGGTTGGCTAGTGGCTCATTCAGTGTCAGATCCCCAGGGTGATGTGCCCAGCCCTTGTCCCCTGAGCTGTGTCCCTGTGGGAGCTGATGGCCACCCCTTGTCCTTGTCCTTGTCCCTGCCCAGGTGGGGATCCCTCCGGCGCCGCGGGGAGTGCCCCAGATCGAGGTCACCTTCGACATCGACGCCAACGGCATCGTGCACGTGTCAGCCAAGGACAAGGGCACCGGGCGGGAGCAGCAGAGTGAGTGTCTGGGCGGGGCAGGGGGTGCTGGGGGTGCCACTGACCCCAGGGGAATGGAGTGTGCTGTCCCACAGTCCAGGCTGGGGATGGAGCGTGGGGCTCCATGCTTGGGTCACCCCCACTCTTCAGGCTGTTGCCAGTGCAGCACAGATGCAGCTGAAGTCATCTGAGCCTGTGTCTCTCCTGGAAAGGAGGGTGGCAAAGGGATAAGTGAGAGCTGAGCTGTGGGTTTGTTGTAGGGCAGTGAAGCTCTGTAGGCACACAGCCCCTGCCCTCTCCAGTACCTGCTGCCAGGGGATGCTCTCCTTGCACGTTAGGCAGAGATGAGGCACCTGCCTGTGCCAATGTCTGGGCAGCCCTCACTGGCAGGGTTTCACCACATTCCAAGTGGTTTTGCCCTGTGTGACAGTCCTGCCTTGGTGTTGCCATCTGGAATAATTGCAGCAACGTGTGAGCAGAGTGCAGCTGTTTCCTGGGTTTGCTGCATGGATCAGCTGTGTCCCAGTGCCAGGTGTTGGGCACACAGGGTGGCTGACTGAGGGCTCCCTGGTGTTGGTGGGCCGTGCTCTGTCACCAGGGTGTTTAAGGCAGTCACATGTGCCCTGTGTTACTCTGAGGGGACAGAAGTTGGAGTCTGGTATTGCAGCACTGTGGTGAGTTGTCCTTGGGCTGTTTGGGGGTGCTGTGTCTTTGGGAACACACAGGGATTGCTGTCTGTGGCCTGGCTGCGTGAGGGTGCCAGCTTTTAAGGCAGAATCAGATCAGGAGGATCTCGGACTCCAGGGTGTGTCGTGTACAGCTGAGCAGAGCAGCCCTGTGCCAAGACCTGTTTGTTATATTCCATTATAAAGGTCTGGAGATTAAGGTATTTTTTGGGATATTTTGAAGCAGCAGCTTTTACCTGCAACCACCTTGTCCGTTTCTTGTGTTGAAGCTGGAAGTGACTGCAGCTGGCAGGAGGCTCAGGGAATTCAAGTTGCCAGTGTATTCTGCTCTGTGGTACAGTGAAACATTGGGCCCCATGTACTGGGGTAATTAATGTCACAGTTGACAGTTTCAAAAGCTCTGTGGTGGGTTCAGGAGATTAATTCTAAGCATTTACAGATTCCCCTGATACAAAATAAAACTCTCTTCTCCCTTATAACTGGAAGCCTCTGTACTGCCCTTCAGCTGTTTCTTGGAGAGAGTCCTTGAGCAGTGAAATGCTCCAGTTAGCAGAAGCATTAGCTATGCACAACTGGAGGGTTTAATCACACTGCTTGGCTTTTTGGCAGCAGGTTGACACCAAAACCACCCTACACTTGTTACTTGAATTTCCTTGGAGATCTTGCACATGTGGCAGCCTTCTACTGCTGAGTAAAAGGCTCCTGGTGACAGGCAACCAGAATGACTTTTAGCTGCCTACCTGTAGGTAGATGTGGTCCTAATTACAAAGCTCAATTGCTCATCCCACATCTGTATCCAAAGGACACCTCTGTGTGTGTGTCTTTGTTCAGGGTTCTGTACCATTGACAAAGAATTCCTTAGGAAAGTTCCTTTAAATGGTGATTGTAGCTTCCACTTTTATGGGCATTGAGATATTCTGGGTTTTGGTCCTCTTGCAGTGAAATTTGACTGATTCCCACAGTAAAACCTGAATCTGGGCTGTGCTTTTTGACACTAATAGAGGGAAAAGACCAAGGAAGGGATGTGTAAGAGCCTGCCCATAGAATTGTGCTCCATTCCTTATTAAGGGCAATGCTAGGAGCTGGGTGGGAAATGTTGTCTTACCCTGCTACCAAGCCTGGGCTGTTTCCCAACAGGGAAAGGAGTCTTTAGTGAAACCATTTCTTTTCTTTGGATTTTTTTTTTTGTTGGGTTTTTGTTGGAGGGTTGATTTGTTTTGAGTGGTTTTAGTTTGGATTTTTTTGTTATTTTTAGTTCTGTGGTTCTAATTTGGGATGCTCGTTTGGTGTGAGGGCTTTGCACCCTCACTTTGCAGGAGGATTAAGTGAGGACTGGCCATAGTGACTTGCAGACCAGCAGGCAGGGTGTGTGTGGCAGAGCTGGGGAGTTGCAGACCCAGGAGATGAGGCTTTCACCTTGCCAGCAGCACCAGTGGCTCTCTAAAGAGTCTCAGTCTGTGTCCTGCCCATGGGACCTCCCTGGGCGCAGAGCCTCTGAGCAGGCTGCTGCTGTTAGGCTGGGGAATGATCCTCTCCTCAAAGGGGAGAGCAGATCCTTCATTCCTGTTCTTGTGTGCTGCAGTTGTTATCCAGTCCTCCGGCGGCCTCAGCAAGGATGAGATTGAGAACATGGTGAAGAACGCAGAGAAGTACGCGGAGGAGGACAGGCGGAGAAAGGTAACGGGGAGCAGAGGAGCTGCTGCCTTCAGCACTCTGTCTGAGCTCTGCCCACCCCTGGGGGCCCAGGGCTCTGCTCTCCGAGCTCTTGCCAAGCCTCTGCTCCTTGCCCTGCACTCATTTTGTACCCCTGGCTCGCATGAAGGTGTTTGCAGAGGCATTTGGGTCTTGAGTTGGATACCTTGCCCTGTGTGACTGCACTTTACTGCTCCCTGAGGAATTGCTGGGATGTGGAGGCAGCAGTGAGCAAAGCCACTGCCTGCTGCTCATGGCAAACAGCTTTGCAGCTCTGGTGAGGGTTTCTGTCATCACTGCTCTGCACTGTCCCCCTTGGCTGTGCATTTGGCACCTGGAATGCTGTGTCCATGTGAGCAGTGCTGGTGAGGCCAGGAGGTGGTGATGGAAATCCTCACTGGCCTTGTTGAGTAAAGACTGGCACTTGCCATGGACTGAACCTGTAATACACACAAGATTAATGGTTGGAACTAATTGGTTTAATGAGGGTAGTAATAATGAATTATGCAACTAAATATAGACCATTGATTTTTTTAAGCAGGCACAGCACAGGCTGACTCTGGGATGTGGCACCAGCATGTGTTTAGTGATTGCTGAAACTGGCACATGGAGTTGATCCACTTTGTGTCCTTCAGCCTGTCTCAGGTGTCCAGGCAGTGCTGTAAATCTTGCCCCCAGTGGGGAAGGGATCAGAAGAGGGCTGAAGGGGAGAAAGCATGAAATAAATCCCCAGGAAGCATCACTGCCTGGCCTCAGAACCTCCAAAGCCACAGAGCAGTGGCTGATGGGCATTTGTAGGTTAGCTGGGGAACCTTCAAAGACCTTGCTCTGAAAGTCCCAC